TTTTCACAAGCACTTAAACTAACGAGACCGTGTAACTATTTATGATACATGGGGACATCGACACCGTCTGGCACAGAAATAACCCGACAAATGTTCAAGTGTATTAACATTAACTTTTTATATAACTGCACATCTTGTCGTCGTGGGTGGTAATTCCAAACGCGAGTAGAATTGCGTGAGAAAACATTACAATCATAATCATATCCCGCTTATTAAAACTTCCAAGATAAATATTTCATTATTTGCATGTGTGTGTGGCGCAACCATTTACATTGTTACTAGCATGCGATAGACATTGGTTGTTATCAGAAAAATATTATCATCAAGTTGAAATGTTTGCTGATACATTACGAGTATTTACTACATTGTATATTGTAACCATTGACAATAAATGGTTATTTATGACAGACTGGTACTCCAAAATAATTAATGGGTTGTAATTCCAAACATGGGTACAGTATCATAGCAATATCTACAAAACGAACATTAGTGAATTACCATGCAGTAGCGATATAACTGTGTTGAAACATACGTTTCTGAACACTGCGTGGATACCATGTAGTGTTTCTGTTTATAGCCTACGAGTATGACATCATTTGAGGTTTATGACATCGTATAATTTAATCACAGCGCATGAAATCGATAATTAGGACTGAAAAACAAAGCGATTATTTCAAAGTATTGGCGTTACAATATTATTGCCAAAAGAGAAACAATCACATGGCATAAGTGAAAGTAGAATTTCATAATTATTAAAAAATATATATATTTATTATATAGTTTCACATAATAAATGATGCAAATGTTCAGAAAGCAGTAAATATTTAAATCTAAACTTAGTAAGTTGAAAATTATAGATACTGACAACTGTGCAACATACTAACAGTTGTTTAGCTGACACATGCTGCACGGCTAAGAAAGAAAACGGAATACTTAAGTGGAATAAAGCCCGAACCGGAAACCACGTAGGGTGCCATTTTTTTTATTATAGTAATTTAAAATGCATATTTGGGGTTCCAAGCCTATATGGTCCAAGCCTATTGAGTGTAGGCCTATATGGGCTTAGTGCCATATTGTTATCTTTCAGATTTGTCTTTTTCTGTTACTCTGGCTGGGTTATAAAATATTGGTGCACCGTTGCCATGGCAACAGATACAAACTGATTTTCTAATAGCTTTGCTCCAAATGTAGGACTAAAAACCTTGGGCATTTATTCGGACACTCATTCTACTTAGCTTGAGTTTGGACACAAATTTACTATTTGTTTTTTTATATCATTTAACATTGCCAGGAAAATTGACCTAAAATTGAGGTTACTTTTCACCAGGAACGGCTTTTAACTCTTCTATGATTTTTTTTGGCTTGGGCGGTTTTGTTCGTAATTGGTATGTAGGTCATACCTTCACTCTAGGTGGGTGGGGAAATCTAAAAAAAAAAACTGGCCCACAGTTGCCATGGCAACAGCCAAAATAATGATTTTTCAATACTTTCGCGCTAATACTTTCCTGTCAGTCTTGTAATGTCAGTGTTCAAATGATCATGCGTTTTATTTTGGTTAAGTTGCGCACCGACCTGAGATCGCCGACGCTGACGTGTTACATCGTATCAACGCAACTTTGAACTTTGAATGAACTGTAAATGGTGCGTTCAATCAAAGAATCTAGAAAATACAATCGCAAAACGGTCGGAAATAAAAAAAAGTTTGTCGTCTTATCGAAATCTAGATTAAAGGGCCAACTTGCGTGAATATAATAATGTTTACTTGAATGTTTACTGGAATGTTTACTGGAATGTTTACTGGAATGTTTACTGGAATCTTCGGGGAATAAAATAAGCCCAGTATGACTTGTTGTCCCCACCAATTTGTTCAATTTGGTCAGCTGAATATTAATAAATTGACGATGTATCAAATCTGCGTGATATCCATAATTTATCCAGTCTACGTTTGAACAAATCAATACTGTTACTGTCTACAGTGTACTCAGGTAGTGCATTCCAATCATTGACAATACGTGTTGAAAAGTAGTTATGACGAATGGATTTGTAGCTTCCACCTGTGACCTCTGGTTACAGATGAAGATAACTCAAAAAACACAGCTGGGTCAACATCACAATGTCCATTCAAGATCTTAAAGACTAATATCATATCCCCTCTATGTCTTCTATAATCCAGCGTAGGTAGATTCAATGCAGATAACCTTCCCTCATACGATAAATCACTCAACCCAGTTACACAGCGAGTGAGTCTTCTTTGGACATTTTCAACAGATCTCTTATCCTGCTTTGTAATGGGGTACCATACGCTATCACCATAATCAAGGTGGGCCTCACTAATGCCTTGTACAATTTAGTAAATGATGATTGGTCGAAATGCCTAAAGCAACGCTTGATAAGACCATACATTCTATTAGCACTATTCACAACTTTAGCAATATGTTTACTAAATTTAAGATTGTCCTGGAATACAATACCAAGATCCTTTTCTTCATTAACCATATCAATAGGAAACACAGCGCCTTCTTTACTACGCATACTAT